TAATCCACTCCCCTATAGCAGTACATTTCAATCCTAGTAATCATCAACTGTATCAGACGCGTTGTGATTTGAGTCAATTGAAAGTCAGATCATTTGTATGTTATATGTTATTTTTTCATAGGAATCCAAGAATTAAGATGATCAAAAGATCCCTTCTAGAATTGCATGAAAGAGCCAAGCCTGATGATAACAAAAAGTTGATAATGTAAGCTGCAGGTCTACGATGAAATTAATAAGGGCTATGATACCAGATAGATTCCAGGGATATTAGATATAGGACATTACAAGTCTCTATTAATATATCGTGGCATTAATATGGGGTGGCGTAGTGGTTTAATGCACGTCTCTCACCGCTTTGGTCAGAGTTCGAACCCCGGCTCAGACTGGATTATTTGTGAGTTGAGTTTGTTTGATGTGTTGTTCTCTCCCTTGCCTTGAGGGTTTTCCCCGGGTACTGCGGTTTCTTCCCTCCGTAAAAATCAATAAGCGAGTTGAGTGTCGCATGCTGTAAATATAGAATATAGTGGTAGTGCGTGTGGAGCGAACCGCATGGAAGAGCCCAGTACGGGGAGTGATGTTTTGCAACAAAAAAAACTGTTCCTGAGGCTTATGGGTTCTCTTAATTTGAACGCATACACGCCCTCCCTTAAAGACGCTTCCAAAAGGCTCAAAGAAGAGACATTATAACATAACTGTTATGAATGTCGCGTTCTGATTGGTTTGGAGCGCTTGCTTTATGAGAGCACATTGCACGCGCGCACACTTTCAGTTGCGTCATTCCTATCTATTATTGTAATTTGTATTTTATAATAAAAAAATAAATAACTTGCTTGCTGTGCGGTCTGCAGTCATAAAGCACTTGGGGGTTGGCAGAACACTCAAGAAGTGTCCACTTCTCGCGTGTTCTACCAACCTCCGCGTGCTTTATAGCTGCACACAGCACGCGCGCGCGTTTTCTATTTCTTCATCAATGCCTGCGCGCGCTTTATCCAGTATTGCGACGCATATTTTCGCGCGCTATTTCTCTAAATAAAAGGACTTGTCAAAACGTTATTCTCTGAGCTCTGTGGCTTCAAGGAGTAACGGCCACTGACGATCTCTATCCAGTTATATCTAGCATCACTTAATAACCAAAACCTGTTTCATATTTTAGAGACGGTTGTGAAGTTGCAGTAGTATATTATCGTTCTGGTTATACACCAAACGATTACCCTACAGAAGACGTGAGTATTGAAAGCGAAAACTTGGATGATCAATTTTTCTCGTGTTTGTTACTGCAATTTTCGATATTCTGAGAACTTGGTAATTGCAAGTCGTCAGTCAAAAATAATCAGTCGATAGCTTTTATATTTTTGACTGGCGGCAGTGAAAACCAATTTCACAACAAGCCGTTGGAATGTCTAAGTTCGCAGAATATTGAAAAACACATTAACATTCAAAGTTCGACATCTTGAAAAGCTTATATTTAATTTCAGGTATGGGCTACAAGATTACTTGTCGAGAGATCACTTGCTATCAAATGTCCCACTGCTGCCTTGCATCTGTTGACAACCAAGAAAATGCAGCAAGTCCTGGCGAAGCCTGGAGTCCTTGAAAGGTACCTCCTATCATCAATAAATCCGCCCCTCCCCGCTCTGATCCCCTCCCATTTCATTTATTTCCACGCATTCCCAACATTTATTTATTCTTTTCCGCTAGGTTTATATCTGATGAAGGTTCTTTACAAAGAATTAGAAAAACATTTACGGGTCTCTACACACTAGATGAGGTGAGTAGATATAAAGTACGTTGATATAGAGAGCTTTCGTATGACTGTGAAACGCTCACAGCAAGAACACTGTAGTGACACGACAAGGGATACGCCAGACCAATCGCATTGCACGAGAATTTATTCTCCATCCAATTAAATACCCGAAACACGGCATGAACACTGCGCGGACATAATCACGCCAAGGTCACGGCAATGCCAGACCAATCACATTGGACAAGAAAAAATCCACCAATCAAAATTCTAGAAAACATCACGGTCGTGGCACGGCACGGACACGGCAACGACTTTTTTACGGTCATGCGAAAAGCCCCGGCCAGCGATTTTACAACTCTCTACCTTGAACTTAATGTACAGTTTAGTGGTGACCACTTTAACTTGAGCTTTCAAGCGTTTCACAGTAAAATGTATTTTTGAGTATTTATTCATTAGTCTTCTTATATGCAACCGTACCCTGTGAGCAGAGGTTGTTTTTTCTTTGCCTCCGATGTAAGGCTGAACGGCAGGCTGGTCGGGGAGAAAATTTCAACCAAGACCGATGGCAGAAAAAGACCTCTGCTAGCAGGGTATAGCATAAGGGATGACGTGTTTTGAAAGGAGAATATATTTTCGCCAAGTTAAAAAGGTCTAATCTTCATCGCTTTGCAAATTGTGTTACTTTGCCGCTCACCTTTCTTTAGTCGCTGCAAAGGATCATTCTTATCCTTGTCATAATTTATCTAGGGTATTGAGGGAGATCAGAATGTCGAGATGGCTCTACAAGACCCAAGAAAATACGTACTTAAACCACAGAGAGAAGGGGGAGGTAAGAAATGTTCATCATTGCCCGTTCTATAAGCCGCTCTACTCATGTGTCGAACGTAATTGATAAATTAATTAGGGGCAAAAAAGCGGTGTATGAAACAGCTGGCGCTCCAGTGTCGCATAATGCGGCAAGCCATGTCGAACCTCACGGGTTTGTCTTACCAAATTAAAACTAYCGGGCCAAAATGGCATTAATAAAATTAAAAGGATTATTCATAGTGGATATAAATCCGATATCACACTATTTATTTGTCTTACGATTGTGGCAGTTAGGTGGACCTCGACGTTTCGACTGCTACTGCTAGTCTGCAGTCAGCCTGGCTCACTTAAGGATCGTACCGGGGCTGTGATTGGCTGTGTCTGGTTGGCGTGACGGAGTGCTTTGGAATGAACGGTATCGATGTTGTTGGGGTGGAGTCTAATTTCAATGACTTCTTTGACTCTGCGTGTGTACCAGTGGTTGTCTCTTTAGATGCACTTGACGTTCTTCCAATCTGTGTATACAATATCTATATACCTGCAACAAATTAATAAAGAAAAGAAAAGAAAAAGAGAAAAAGAAAAACTATAATAAAATATACTATAATAAAAATATATCTACTAATGTATAACCATAAAATCTATT